ATATGTGTAAATTGTGTTTGACATAAAGACAAATCCACCAACTATCATACCTTACAAGTGCTCAGTTAATTTTTTTATATGTGTAAATTGTGTTTGACATAAAGACAAATCCACCAACTATCATACCTTACAAGTGCTCAGTACATTTCTTATTTGTGCATATTGTGTTTCAAATGAAGGTAGCCAAGCGTGACCCAGTGGATAGCATGCCGAACTGTGGATCTGCTGGTCCAATTGTTCACCTCTTCTTACCGAAAAAAACGAAATCGCTCTACGCACTTTGGTGCCGTGGACACATTATAAGGGTGATGGCCAATTCCCACTTTTCGGCTTAAAATAATAGCCCCAAACTTGGCGGTGGGTGCTGTTCACTAGCTGTGTTCCCTGTAGTTTATCAGTTCAAAATTAGGAACGACTAGCAAGATAGCCCTTGAATAGCCTTACACAAATATCTAAAAAAAAAACAAGTAAACATCAAGAAATTTATCCAGATAAATGTTCAGTTTTATGTGTATTTTATAGGGGCTTTCAAAAATCGGTGTTGTATTTTATATATTGTTGAATTAGTTAAATGTTTTTATGACATATGGTGTTATATTCCGTGACAATCATTGTTTCCTTTAGCGAATCACAATGAGCTGTGGTATGTCAAAACCATAAACACGTTAGTAATTTTTTTTTCAGTTAAATGGAAACAAACAAATACAAAAAAATCTTTTCAACTGATGACCAAGCATATTATTTGGGTGTTAGGCCTAACTACATGAAGGAAGCTTTAAAATTGCTCAATAACATATAATTAACATTGAAAAGTAATTCCTATCTCAAGACTGTATGCGTTATTTCATGTTGTTTTCTAAAATAGTTAGGAAACCTTATTGTTGACTAATTTTTAATCATTACGTATAACTTCAACTTCTTTTAGCGTGACCTTAGGACTTTATATTAAGGGTTAATCGCACTTTATAAGAACGATGATCTTAGCCTCGAGTTGCTTTCAGAATGATTTCCTCCATCATCAGTCATGCTAAGTTTGATGGCCATAATAACGGCAAGTTCAGTGTTAAGCCACAATTTCTGCATAGTTCTCATGAAAAACATTTTAAGCTCCATTTGACTCTATACTGGTTAACAATCTTACTATGGAAATAACTTTTCTCGTAAAGAGCTGAAACATACGCCTCTAGTCATAAGTCTACCAGTGGCAGCATTTATTGTAGGGAACAAAATATATTGATGCTGAAATATTCTGCCGAACACGACATTGTATTAGCATATATTCACAGGTTTTATAAAATGCGATTAATCCTCTGTGCAATAAGAAATTATGTAAAACTAAATAGACCTCAGTTAAGGTGAAAATTCAGTTTTAATTTTTATTAATAAGTTAATAATCAATGAATAAAGCAAATTTCTTAGTGATGCATAATCATTTATAAATGAACACCATAAAGCTGCCTTATTCAATACATATTTATTATCGTGATGAAATAGTTTTCCAGGCAGTCGTTCCAGTAGAAATATATAGTTTTTACAAACTGTTACAAGTATACATCATGAATCAATTTAAACTCTGTGCAATACAAAAGTTTATGGGTGATTTCTCCCTAAGTACGATGTTAGCACTAAAATCTCCCAAGTGGAAGTAGCTGCTATCATTTAAGTTGTATTATTATTGTTATTCAAGAGGTAAATATTTTAACTGAGCGATTTTGACACATTATAAACTAACTCATAGATTACCCTACTACCTGAAAAACATCCAAACATCATCTGACTTAACACGGACAAAATAAAGTTATAATATTGTTTCAGTGCGACTTTCCAAACAAAAATTATAGTTTAAAATGGAGCACATTTTATTAATATTTTCCCTAGGCTTCGCATTCTTCTTTGTCTTCTAGCTCTTTTTTTTTTCCTGGCCCAGCATGGCTGAGTGGTTAGAGCAGCTAACTCCCAAAAATCTGAGGGTCGCGAGTTCGAATCCCCGTCCCACCAAACATGCTCGCCATTTCAGTCGTGGGGGCGTTATAATGTGATGGTCAATCCCACTATTCGTAGTTTCCGATTTGTTTGTTTGTAATTAAACACAAAGCTACACGATGGGCTGTCTGTGCTCTGCCCACCACGGGTATCGAAACCCGGATTCTAGCGTTGTAAGTCCGCAGACATGCCGCTGTGCCACTGGGGGGCGTTAGTTTCCGAACTTTTCAAAGTGTTATTTCTTAATCTTAAGCGGTTTTGTTGTTGTTGTTTTTTATGTCGTTTTAATTTCGAATTCAAAGTATTTCCTGGGGTAAAAACCTACGCACATGTGTATTGTGCGTGACGCTCTTGTTGATCTACAGTTTTATAAGGAAAGCCTTTAAAAGTTTAATGATAATGAATATATTTTATAATTGTCATAAAACGAAATGCATGTGCCGAGTCAAGTATCACTTTCCTGATATTCTTTCCTGTTAGACTTGCCTAAAGCTTAACGTTGTAAATGTCAAGCCATAATTGTTATAGATACAATTTACTACTTTGAAAATATCTCAACAAATATCTTTTTTTTTTACTCGTAAAATTACACATGCTTTCGTTTTCTGTAAAGTTAAACGCATTATCTAGGCAATTTTAAATGTAACAAATGCAAATCCGAAAACATAATCACCCTTATCATTTCTTGAAACAATTTATACAGCTAAAATATCTTGTTCATTATACCAAGGAGGCTATTCCATGTCTAACCATCATTCTTAACACTAACCACTGGGAACAATTGTGTACCTTTAGCTTGACAAGTTCTGTAATGGGAACCATGCATAAGATGGCAAGTAGACAACCGGAAGTCGTTTGTAGAACTTCTCTGTGGAAATGGATACAAATAGAGAAACTTTCACTTATTTACTAGTGTTTGGAAGCTATACTTTACCATAGTGTCTATTGGTTATGTAGTATTTGGTAGCAAAACGTTTGTCACAGATTACTTGTTATTTTAGGATTTGGAAGCTTTATGACACAGACACATAAAACCAGTATCTGCAACGTTTGGAAACTACAGAGATTGAGTATGTTATTTATAAAACTATTTTGGAGCATCACCATATATTTATAGTCCATATCACTACGTTTGTTCATGCATTTTAGCAATAGTCCTGCAGCATAGTTCTTATTGCAAAACTCTCCATCATTAGGCTGTCATGTCCAAGGCACGCCAAGCGTCACTGCAGGCTTTCCATAACTCATCTAGTGTTCAAGCACGGAGGCTTCCTAGCGTCCGCTTCAATAATCTGTCCCATTGCATATAAATCCATAGGCGACTTGGCCTGGTATGTCTTCGTGTGGAATTTCTTGACCTATTCGATGGCTGAACGGGAAGTTTGACTAGAGGCCTTATAATGACTTCATTTACAGACGGAGATCCTTCTTCTTTACGTTGTGTACTGGTCCCTTGGACACGTGGACTGTTTTTGCAACTGACGTTTGTATTCGTAGACTCTCACCTATCACAAGACACAGTTGCTTGCTTGCAACCACAGCGATACGACTTGGCCCCAAAAAATCTCAAGTTGATCCAAATTTCTTTGTTTTCCAATGTCATTAAGTACAAGATATATCCCCAGCTTGGAAATTCTAAATCCCCAATCAGAACATGTTTTTATGATTGGAGTGTGTGAATATTTTGCACCAGAAAGGTATTACGTACCCTTTTCAAAAATAATTAAATTTTGGTGGCATCAAACTACATACATAACACCAAACAATCTTATAACGTAATTCTGAAAAATTCTGTTCCGCCGTGGCTTTATATCGCTGTGCTTTGTCACGTGACTTGATTATTTACATATTCAAAATTGATTTCGTATAATCTACTCAACCGTCTGTATACTTTATGATGACACACATTACTATTTACTGAAATGTTTGAAAGCTGTACTTTATGACACACATTACTATTTACTGAAATGTTTGAAAGCTGTACTTTATGATGACACACATTACTATTTACTGAAATGTTTGAAAGCTGTACTTTATGACACACAGTCAACTAGTTACTACAAT